AGATGAACTGAACCAAATTTCAGATGAACTGGATATATACGAAACCAAATTCCAGATAAACCAGACCAAATTCCAGATGAACTGGACATATATTAAACCAAAGGGATACATCCGAAAGGAAAATAGAAAAAAAGAAAAACATTGGTAGCCGGACGAGCCGCTCGCCAGAAACGAAATTCAAAGGTTAATTTGTTTAGGATCGAACCTGTTCTGATACCAGGTGAAAAATATTATAAATTGTATATAATAAATTTGTTTCTATTACAAAGTAAAATACCCTATTTATAGGACTATAAATAACTCTAAAATGAAAGACTGCATAATAATTATACAATCAACTATTAAAGAAAATAATCCTACACTAATTGGAAAAATATCATAGAGGTATTCTTTCCATATCTTCAACACTTATTTCTTCGTTATACTGTAATCATCAAATCCATTTTACTTCGGCTGTTGAATTCTGAATTTTGGTTATTGATTTTCCTGAACTTTTTGGTGAAAATAGATTGTAACGATGTCTACAAGGTTCTATTAGTTCTTGAGGTCTAAAACATTCACAGCAAATTTGTCCATGTCGAGAGTATTTGATTATCTAATTGTGTATTCTGTTTATGGATGCTCCATGAGATGACCTTAACTTCTTCATAATTCTTTCAGCTTTCGAAATTTTTAGTTTACACATGATAGGGAAATGAAGTCCATGCTTATGATTTCAACTTCATAAACATCGTATATGGTGGTTTCAGGCGCGCTCTGGTTCTGTTCTTTTCTCTTACAAAATTAAAGTCGACTTCTGTGCTTTTAAACTACAAATTGAAATTTAGCCATCTGAATTTTTTTGTCCTGTTTTTGCAAATGATGGTGTTAGATGGAATTTATTGTGTTATATGAGTAACGGGAGTTATTTGTAATGACACTGGTTATCAAGAATTATCTGAAAAAATTTGTTCAATAATCACTTTTAAGATGTTTAGTCACAAACCATGTGTAGTTTGATACTGATAATGACCATGATTTTATAAGGTTGTCCTGGCATCTCAGTTACTCTGCTGGACTGGACAGTTCATAGGCCATGGCGTATTTGAGGTGATTACTCTCATAATATGCTATCGCTTATACACTCTTTCATTTTTTTCTTCTTCGTTACATGTAGC